TTCATTTAAAGCTGGCCTCACATTAGAATTTTACTACACGCACTACAGACTTTGGCATGCACAACTTTTCTAGTCCCTACAGACAGCAAGATGATTACTATATAGCATATCCTGGATATGGGTAATAAGAAACTTTTTTTTAATATTAAGTCTAGTTCTACATATATATTTTGACAAGAACAGTAAAATTTAGTTGGGGAGGTAGGATACTTTAATACTCAAAGCTGTTATACCTCTTTAAATTCACTGCTGTCTTCCATTTTCCACAGTACTCAAGGATACAGTGCACTGACAGTGTTCAATAGTGTCTACAATTATGGATTTTTTTTAAATTCTGCAAGTGAAGTAGCATAGGTTTCTTATTTAAACTGTATATCCTCAAAGGAAACCTTAAATAATGTTGCAGCATTTGCAATTCATTGTCTTTCTTCCTTAGAAAGCACTAATCACACTAAAAGTAGTTAATATTTTCTGATGAGCTTTAAAGCAAAACCCCTATGCAAATGCTAATTGGTAGTTAAACACTATGCAGGACTTTTATACAAGGTTTGGTTTCAATCCGTTTCTGGATTCAACCTAGATACAAAACTCTACAGCAATGACTGACCTAAAAAGCAACACGTTTTCTTCTCATGTATCAACATCACCAATTCCAGCAGATTTTTAGCATAAAGAGGACAGGACTGGTACATCTTTGATAATGAATGCCATTAGAATGACAATCAACTTCAGAACCTTTGCCTGCTCTCCTGAAAGGAGATTAGCGCCCATTTCTCCATCTGAAACAAAAGTGGCCCGCCTATCTAGAAACAATGAAAAATATTTTGATTATTGTCCCAGAATTGCAGAATTTTCTATTTCTACCACAATCATTTAAAGCAATTCTACATTAATTTAACTGGTTTTATAAGCACTTCAGGAATGCAAATTAGGAAACATCTAACGTATTTTACTTGTAGGGATAGACAAATAAACCTACATTACTGTGTGTGGCACCTGTACATTACATATTTGTGGTAATCAGCTGTTAAATACAGTATTCTCCTCAAAAGCTTATGTTGTCCAGCACCTGGGGAGACCTGGCCTCCTGGTTAGAGCTACTACACGGACTGGAGAGCTGGTAATCTCTAGCAAATGGCCGAATTTCTCTCCCTCTGCCTTGATAAACTGCTTGCCTCCTGTCTGCTTTCTCTCACAGAAGACAGAGAAAAGAGCTGGGTGGCTGAGCAAAAAGAACACTGGGCAATTTCAATTACAAATAACTTAAATGCTCAAACATGCTGAAAGATGCCATAAGACCTTTGCAAGTAACATCACTTTAAGACAGGCCTGCCTAAGCACATTGGCTAGACATTCCAGAAGGAACCTAATATTAAACATCTAAAAGCTAGTTTAAAATAGGTATCTAGACAGGCTTCCATAGGAAAATCATCTGAACTATCTCAGGGAATGCAAATCACTTCAGAGAGAGCCTTTTCTTCTCCACTCATCCTGAAAAGGATCTACAGTTACTAACTCACACTTATGATGTACAACTTTGAAGAATTTAGGGTAGGGAAGATGAATCCTACTCTTTGCTCTGTCCGGAATGTATTATACCTGACAGTCTCAGGCAAGGCAACACAGATGCACAACCTAGAAGCCTCCTGACCAGATGTAGCCCAAAGTACCACTCATTTAGTTCACAGCAGTTTCCAGATTCCCAGTAGGCACAGAAGCTCGCCTATGCCATGTGACAAGACACAAATTTATCACATGAATAAAATCATAGATGAATCTCCAGACATGTGTGCCTTCATGTGCTAGCATACTCCACACAGACATAAGGTCTTGCCAAGGTGGTGGGGGGTGTGCTCCTGCCCGATACTTTTCTCTCCCACAGTGTTCAACTCTCAACTGGCATCCATAGAAACAAAATGTTGGCATCATTGTTTTATGTTACTGACAGACCGTGACCATGAGACTGCAAACATCTACTGCTCTGGGTATGTTTACTCCCCATAATTCAACAGTATGTAAATATCTAAGCTAGACAAGTATCAATTAGATAGCTAGAAATGAGGTGGCACCAGAAATAGAAACTACACCAACATAATGATCCACCCATGCTTGTTTATACCGCTCAAAGAATTTAAGACATACAGTGCTGCATGGAGACACCTGTGCTATTATTCACTGTAGACCAGTGAATTACATCGGCAGTGTAATTTCCTTCACAGGACAAGAAAATTCTCGCGAAACAGGTAAAATTCTAAGGCTCCACAGGGACTGAGAAGTGAAAAAAAAAAAAATTCTTCCAAAAAGAGTGTCTGTAACAACGAAGATTTTTGCAAGAAAGCAGGACACCACTTCCACAGCATTCCTTGAAGGCTCCTTGGAAAAACAATTAGCTTTTCAAGTGAAACTAACGAACAAACGTAAATGTGTCTCATAAGAAATGTAATCAAATCAAGTTTCAGAAGACTAGCACCTCTTTTCTGCTATTATTTGAAAGTCAGAACAAAGACTCAACAAGGAAACAGTGGTTTTGTTTTGGAAAGGCTCCACAAGCTCCTTTTGTATAAAAGTTTAAAATCCTGAAGAAAGTAATCAGATGTTTCAAGTACAGTTATTCTTCAAAGAGTGGTTTTAAAAATTATATTCTAATTGTACCACACGTGTTCTGTTCACATGATTTAGGTATCAAACTAACTCAGTTTGATTCAACCCCTCCAAATAACACCCAATACCAAAAAAAGAATTGAACATATTTTTTCACTTCTTAAAAAAAAAAAAGGAATCATTGGATTGAATATTAGTCCGTCTATAATATCACTGTATTACGTATATTTTTATGCCAGACAACTGCTGTATGTTTATTCCTCTTTATTTACATTCTTTTCTGTAAAATGAGATTTAACATCTTTATATAAACAACTTCCAACCTGCAAGATGTTTTAAAGAGAATCTTTTGCAAAAGAAACAGGATGCTTTATTTTTTGAACAATGCAATACCACTCTCTAATTTTATGTTCTAGGTACATCTGGTTTAATATGGAAGAAACAATTGCCTTAACTACTATACACTGGCATTCATAAGTTAACATAAACCCTTTAAATTACTTAATGAATTATTTCTACTATATTAATCTCAAGGAGTCTCTGCTGTGGTCATAGAATAGGTATTAAATCTCAGCTGGAGCACGCTTATATTCAGTAATCTCCCGACACCACATAGAAGCAGTGGAAATTACGAGAACAAGCTAGTACTCAACCAGGCCAACTTTAACTGCATTAGTAGTACGATAAGAGCTTTTAGAAATACCTTTTTCTTTTCCTCTTTTAACTGTCAGTATATATAGCACAGAGCATAGATCTAAAAGGTTTTTCCATGTTTGACCACCTGAATAAATGAACCAAGCTAGTGACCTAAGAATATGGAACAACCAATCCAGTAGTGACTGATTTTCATTTATTCTCTCAAAGGAATACAAAAATTTTTGCACAGCTGCAGAAGGATTATTTCAGGTTTATCTAAACTAGTTAAGTTTCCATGAGAAGGACAAGAAGAGGTGCTAAGACAAATTCTCGACTTTGTATTCATCAGAAGTAAGGCAGGAAGATATATACCACTTTATTATTCTAGTATTTCCAAACTTGTGGTTAAAAGAACCTTAGCAAGGTAAAAAAAAAAAAAAAATTCTTTAGTTCAATTAGATGCTTCAACTACAGAATGCTATGCCAAGTGTAAAAATAACATCAACACTAACAAAAGATAGATTTGCTTAAATTCAACAGTTATTTGTCAGACACCATCTGCCTTTTCTTTCATTCTTTTCTTATTCTGATCTGTAAAAAACCACATCAGTATCGAATATCACTTAGTTCTTATTCAAACAGAGCCGTCCAGACACAGCGGCTGCACCAGCTGACTTAGCTGACCTGGGCCTAGAGTAAAAACAAATCCCTATAAATCACCAGATGTAAGCAATTGAACAGTGATCAATTTAATTAACTGAACAGCTTTCTAAAGTTTACTGTATTGTTTTAACCTTTCAGGCTTCTTCAAGAAGGGTAACTCGAAATTTGTATTCAAGGGCAGGATCTGGCCAGAGGGCTACATATTACTAGCTTTAGACACTTTAGATTCCCATTGATAAAACTCAAGTCCCACACACACACGAAAAAGTGTCTTTTCTTTTTTCCAATTAATAGTATGATAGTAACTATTTCTGTTAGCAGTTCCTTCAACATTTTAGAGAAATTAGATCATGGTGGGGGGGGAGGAAATCGAACCGATTTCAAGTGAAAACCTCAGGAATAAAATTTCCTTTAAAATCAACTGTTTGGGTTATGGGCTTTATATGCCTTTTACAACTTTATACTCATATTACAGATGCCACATCAAGTAACCTACTAATTTCTTTCAAACAAAACAATGAACATAGACATAATTGTGATACACAATTATATGCATTAACTGCAGCCATAAAAAAAAATTATGCCACACATTAAAACAGGCTCAAAAAGACATTATAAAGATATTGGCAAAACAACTTCTAACCTAGACACTTTTCCTGAAGCTGCATCTTGAGGGATTTCCCCATGTTGCCCACTGAAATTAATGGAATTCTGCCATGATTTAATGCAAGTGGGATTTCAGCCAAGATGCATAATGATACAGTATAACTCTTGTTCTAAAGTCTGCATTGTACAACTTTGTTTAACATTTACAAATGTTTGTGTAGTGCCTAGCACAACAGGGCTGAGGCTTCTGAATACTACCACAACATAAATTAATTCTAATGCAGTCTTTGTATCCGAGGGAAGTATAAAAACTACAAGGATTAAGCTCAATTATACACATTTTAAACAACCTGCTAAATAATGACATAATCAACTTCCTAACCACAAGCTGCTCTATTTCCAATTATTTCACTTTAATCTCTGTAATCCACATATTTCTACAAACCCTGTAGAGTTGGTCCCACTAACTAGGGACAGAAGTAAGATCTACTTACAAAGATAGAAGAGTTATGTTTGCAGAGACTGGCCCCAGATCTGGAACAATCTCCAGTTCATTGTTGTTCAATTTCCTATTAATATCAGAAAAGGGAAAGTCAGCTTTGATGTTAATCAGAAGTATGTACTCTGAATTTGCTAAATTGCTGAACAGTGTCAGCCGAAAATTCACTAATAATACCAGTTTCACTTAATGTAAAATATCAGAACAGTAAACATCTTTGTTGTTCGACCAATTATCCCTAGAGAAATATCTATACCATTAGCATACACAAACTCTGGTGGTTTTGTGTTTTTTGTTGTTGGTTTTGGTTGGGTTTTTTTTGGTTTTGTTTTTGTTTTTTGGGGGGGTGTGTGTGTTTTTTTTGTTGGTGGGTTTGGTTTGTTTTGTTTTTTAATTAAGACAAATTAACTTACACTTCCCGAAGACTATGAAGGTGATCCAAGAGACTGGTCTTGATTGAAGATAATTTGTTGTGACTTAAGTCCCTATAAGGTTACAAAAACAAACAGCATATCAGTTTTGCCATAAAATATCAAGTGAAGCAATACAATTTCAATCTAAATTATGTTATCATTTGTTTCCAAGAACATAAAAAGGTTTTTTATATTAGTAAGCTTAGAATAGAAACTCACATGAGTATACAAGGTATAAATAAGGGTAAATACCTTAATCACTGCCAGCAGTGTCAAAGAATTTCCTGTACCTCTGAACAATTTTGAAATGTTTATTGGGATGTATGTAAGACCCATGAAAAATATCTTACAATTTTGACTGATACACCACTAACAACCCCTATTTCCCTTCCCTTCACAACAAAAGATCTGACTAAAGCAACCTCTTGGTTACAAGGAAAATTGATAAACCCAATACTCATTGCAGTCTCATTCTTTGAGTCAATCATAGTATTTGTATCTTTTAGTCTTCTCACTTCTCCAAAGCAATGCACAGATTGTAAGTGCACAATGAGGTCTGTCCATAAATCTCAATTCTATTTTCACGCTTTCACACTATTCAGGACTCCATTCCTACATGACCAAATTTAATGGGGAATCTTAAACAAGCAATATTCGGAAACAGACACAGGAAGGCCTATTTCTAGCCTGAGTCTTAAGATATTTATGTACCAGTCACATTAATACTGCACTTAATGGCACCTGAAGAAGTAGCTCAAGGACTCAGCTTGTGTCACTCTGTACTGAAGATCCCAAATATACATCGATGCAGTTTATAAGCAATCTTGTTAGCATCTTTACAGTACGTGCTACAAAACAAGCCAGGGTACTAAGAATGCAACGCATTTTCTTGACCACTGTCAAGAAGATTCTTTTCCCTACAGACACCACGCATCTTTACCATATGACCTCTCAAATATTTGACACCAGCATAAAGTAAAGTCCCAAGAAACTTCTGCTGTAGTCTCTGAAGTACTGGAAACACCACAGAAATAAAAGAATGACCATACAGTAGAAGGCAGAGAAGCTAATTACAGAAACCCAGATTCGCATGCTGTAGAGAGCTGCACAAGTGTTACAGATTCACAACTGATCTTGTAACCACGGCTAGCCCTGTTAAAGATCTCGCCCTCCTTAGTCGCCCATCCACCGTAACATGCGCCTTCCTGCTCCCATATTACAGCCTATCACCACCTCACCTCCACCAATTCAGTCATCTGTGAAGCACTCGTTGGACGTTACAATACTGAGCTTATCCAAGCTGGCAAACAAAAACTGCACAATTTTTAACAAATTCTTAAACTCACTCTAGCAAGAGCTTGCAATGCAGACACAAAGAATTGCATCAGTGTGCTTCAGCAGTGAGCTGCTGTAGCACCAGGTAAACGTAAAGAAATTTAATTTAATTCAGTGCTAATTAAGCACTGAACAACACGACTGGGGTCCTCATCAAGCCACGTGGGCATGAAGTGTATTTCAAGTTGAATCTATGAGGAAACTCCAGGATTCCTAACTTTTTCTGGATAATACGACTCAGTACAGTCAACTATACCGAACGTGCCAAACACAGGCCTGACTGCCACAGATGTGTCTACTCTCCATCTATAGTTCTGGAAGTGAAGAAACCTGACAATCAGCACAACCCTGCTGCACACAGACCGGAACTGGCTTAAATCACGCCAGGTTCAGGGTCTGTGCCAGGTGTTCTGCTGTGTGGCTAACCCCTGAACAACTGCAGATCCAGAGAACTCCAGTTTCTCTGCACCTACCATTGCAGATCCTCAGACGCGGGTGTAATGCTGCAACCCAGCTAGGCACCAAGGCTACTTCAATAGCACATTGGGACATATAAAACCATGTTTAGACTCTTCCAACTGTCTGGTGCTTTATGCAGTACTTGTTCAGTGTTGCCAGGACAATTCCAGCATCCCTTTTGTCTTCTCTGGAGTCAGCAGTTAAAAAAAAACATAAATAAAAGTCAAACATTACAAATAATCCCAGGCACGTCCGGGCATTACTAGGGGCACCACCAGAACCTGGTTACGAGGTGTGCTCTGAGCCAGCCAACTGGATCAGGCCCAGCGAGCTGCGGAGCTGCAGCACCGGCACCTGGCTCGTGGCCACAGGCAGGAGGAGACAGGCACTACATTTCCCAAGCCAGGGCGGCACAGGAGCATGCACAGGGCAGACTTGCAGGTGTAAAAGGCATTTTCCAGCACAAAAAAAAGGGAGGTGAAGGCTGGTGGGGGGAAGCCACCTAGGGAAGAGGAACACCCTCCACTACCTTCAGGTGTCCACAGAGGGGATGTTTTCTGAGACTCAAACACCTAATATATATCCATGCCTTCTTCCAGGTGTCTAAACCCCTACAGATTTTTCTCTTAAAGATGGAAAACCAATACAGTGTTAACATTTTCAAAAAACCCACAAATGTTAGTTTCATCTTTATGATTCTGAGTTCTCCTGTAAATGAGGTTAACCATACTTGAGTTAGAGGACCACATCATTCATTGCTTAAAAAAATAGTGCAAACATTTGTCTGGCCATAGACTAGAGAAAAATCCCTTTGTTTATCACATGAAGACATTAGCTGCATAGATTTGAAATTCTCATACTGCATTCTTAAATGTAAAGACTGAAAATGTATGCTGTTAGAAAGATCTAGACGAGAATCTAACTTGGTCCTTTAAAGCAGATAGAGTAGAGACAATTTTTACCCTTAAACTTAATTCAATATTTGGCTTTAGTCTGTAGGGATTATAAGAACTATGCAAATAAACAGCCAAAATTCAGTGAAGTTATGGCTGTTAGTGCCTAATATGTTGCTGTTCTTCATGCTTCAGACAGGACTTAGAAATCAGTAATTATTTCAACAAAGAGCTTTCAACGTTAGTGCTAAAAACCTGCATTTCTTCATTTCATCTAAAAACCCTGCAAAAGGTTTATTTAAAACATGTTTGCCTAAAGGACCTACCAGACAGTAACAGACGTGAGTAGATTTGTTCTGCTGGAGTTATAACATGTTAAAAAAAAAAAAAAAATCTGGCAGAGTCCTTAAACTATAAAAATCCTGCAATTACAACCACTGCTGTGCATGATCACCACACTGGAGCCAGACACTTTCACTCATAGCTCAAGCTCACATCCATCTGGAGTCTATCAAAGCAACCGTGAGCATAACAACTTACACTAGGTTTCAAAGTATTTTTTTGTGTTTGTTTTTTAACACTAAAGATACCCTCAGATTTTCCACATAGCACCTACTTTAAAAAAATATATACATACAAAATCCTCATTCCTTGTTTACTTACAGCACGTTGTCAACATAAGTTGCAAAATACCCAAAGCAAACCAACAACAAAAAAAACCAACAGACAATACTGAATTGCCTGTGTCACACAGCTGTATACATGCTCGTGTACCAATTGTTGGATAAAATATGAGTTATAAATATTTTATTAAACATTATTTCAGTGCTACTGACATGAGAAACTTCACCAAATAAAGCCTTGCAAGTTACATTTTTAAGTTAAATCAGAGCAGTTGGAAGTGAACCAAAAGTTAAAATATTTCTTTTATTTATCTGTGAAGTATAAGCCTTAGAAGTTTCTGAAACTTATAAGCACTGAATCTGAGGCATTTTTTAAATATAAAAATCTATCATCCCTGTCACAAAGCCGCAAGTACATTTCATTCCAATGCATTTCTCAATGTATCTTAAAACAAGTATGAAGAAAAGGTTTGAAAACAAATAAGAATTTTTCCTTCACAAAAACAGAACTGACGTTAAAACACTAAGATTATTACTGTGCATTTTCCATGTCTGAGTTTTCCTTGTCTGTTAAAACCACGTTACAAGAGGGGAGAAAATCTCTGTGATTACTTTTGCTACTAGAATTTCAAAAGCCATGAAAGATGTAACAGTGAATGCACTCAGAAACTTCAGAAAACAGATTTCTATTGAGAAATTCTTTATAACAATAAAAAGTATATATACCTGTTCTTCACCTCAGGTTTCTAATAAAAGTGATTGAACATTTAAGTAAAACTGCCTCCACTTGAAAAAGCCCGCCATAGTTTTTGAGCCCCTTTAAGAACCCATTTTATGAAAGAAACTATTTTCTGTATTCCATTACGTTTGTATGATCATCTTTCGTAACTCGCAAGTCGCTGCATTAGAAAGCTGAAACCTAACTCCGAACATCAATGTTTATGCGATAAAAATTTTAAAGGCCTAATGCGTAGAGAGGGTGAGTGTTTCTTCACACATTTTATAAATATAACTTTCAGACTCTAACTTAATTTACAACACTTAGTCACAATTATCATCTTCTTCCTCAGAGAACCCAGAAACCTGAGCCTCAAGTCAAATTTTAAAATGCAAATCCAGCAACAGCTTCTTAATCAGTCCCACTGGGGCCTATAGAGCTGCTAATTCAGCAGAAATCAGGAGGGCTGAAAAACAAAAAGCCAGGCTGTAGCTGTTTTAAGACACTGATCCAAAGTGACTCATAAATCAGCTTGCTATGTTCAAGTTTTAGTCTGGAAAATATTGAAAAACAGCTGTGAAAACCATACGGCCCTTTTTTCTGGCAATTCTGGTGGAGAACTAGAGGATTTATAAAATGTAAATACTAAAGATGTAATACAAACACAAGTGAAAACCATCTTTCAGACTTTCCCTCCTGCCTCACCAACCGTTTTAGCATTCCTCGGTGAACCTGGCGAGGGGTATGGCAGTGCCACGGGGAGTTGGTGCACACGGAGGACACCGGCCAACGCTCAACACTCTTCCTCCCTCCCTCCCTCGGCTTCCAGCTCTGCTACACCAGCTCTAACAAAGCCACATTCTTGCAATCTCAGGACACACATCCTGGAAGTAAATCAAAATCTAACTTCAAAACTATTTGTACACAAAAGCATTACAGATGTTTATCAGTTCTCAGCGGACTTACCTTCCCTGAAGTCACAGAAGATGGTATTTTGGGCTAAAATCACAGCAAAACTGGCAATTATACCCTATTTACTCCCCATTTTGTGAAGTCATTTCCATACAAAGCAGTAGCCTCATGCTTGCCACCAAAAAGAAGGGGACACAACTCAGTATTCAGGCTCATTTTTTCATCTCCCTCCTTGTCCATCCTGAGGTCATGCAGTCTTGCCACATTAGTGCACTCTCGTTTTATTTCACTGGGTGATTTGAACACAAATGTAATGAAAGAGCCAAACCACTTCAGAAAGCCAACTTCATGCCACTGGTTCTCTGGGCGAGCAGACAGATGGGCAGAGGAAGGCGTAGAGCCGTACGCAGGCCTAGACCTTCTCACCTGAGCACCTCTCCTCCTTGGGAGATCTCACCCGCATATGTTGAGAACATGGTGTAATAGTTGTTGTTTTCCAAAGAGGATTGCAAAGCCTCTAATTAAACTACTAGCCTTTGGCTATACCTGCTACGGACTTCCATGGAAAACACAGTAAACATATAGCAATACAATTCATAAACAGCCCTTTACAATTTGTAAATGCGCAGTTTGTTGCAACAATAATCCAGGCTATTCAAACCATTTTTGCGTATGCAAAACTGAAACGGATTATAATTTTAAACATTGCACAATCCCAGCTCCAAGTACTGGAGTAGCTGGAAGTAACAGAGGAGGCTACACTCTTCCTTGCTCTCTTATTAAGAGGAGGGAAAGGAAGAAAGAGCAGGGTACTTCTAAGGCATTTGACACAAACAAAAGAAATATTTACACAAAAGCGGCCAGACCACATGGTTTAGTGACACCTACAAAGATGTACTCCTGTGAGCTTAAGAGCGAGTGACACAGCTGTCCAATGACTAATCACAGCAGGGTTCCTTACAACAGACCAAAGCTTATTTATACAAGTGGAACTTATTTTCTCACACTTTTAAAGGAATGTGAACTTACATAAGGACAATTTACACTACCAAGGGAATTCTAATTAGAAAAACCTCCCTCGTGCTAACAAAAAAAGCCCTGTAACGTGTTTTTATTAGTCTTTCAGTAACATAAGTGGAAAAAACAAATTTGGACTACTGCTAATGCAAAATGCTTTTTACAGCAACTCTAAAGTTCTGTGGATTTTCCCCTTGTTTTTCGTTTAGCATGCTGTCATACCTGAATTTTAACTTAACAGCACCGAAGTAAGCTAAGCTAAGAAATTAAGCTATGAAGCTTAGCATCAAAAAAGTCTTAGGTTTTGTCAGAAAACTTCTGTTAGCCTACTGAAATAGTTCAAAAGAACAGGAGGAATGAAATTTAATAGGAAGCAAAGCCAGTTGTTGAATGTAAATCAGATCCAGTACTTGATTTGTATGCTTCAATCTTACAAGCCAAAACTTAAAAAAAAAAAAAAGTTTCTTTCCCCTCACACTTTCCTATACCACTGCTGGAAATATTAATCTCCCAGAGCCATTCCTATGTTCAGTTCCATATGGTGTCAATACAGCCATCCACATTTCACGAGTAAAGCAGCATGACCTCCAGACGAGGCAATTGAACAGAATTAGCCACAACTAATTGAAAGTCTTCCTGTTTACTTTAAAGTCCTTATCTCAATCTGCTTTGGAAATGTAATAGAAAATTAATACGACCAATATAGCAGATCTTCAAGTGACAAGAGATTAAAAACAAATGTGAAAAGTTCCTCAGCTGTTCTCAGGCTTTTAGAAATTCCCTATAATTTATGCTTTGTCCATTAAAGTTTGTCATTGAAACTACATTTTCTACAGATGGCATTTCAGTACGCGCTACTGCGGATTCAGGGAAACCTGGGCCGAACGGCGCAAGCTGCAGCGTTAATAAAATCGCCAAACCCAAAACTCTCAGGCAACGACGATGAAGAACTGCGCAAACAAAACAGAGATCAGTTTTCCCGACACACGAATCGATATTAAGTTGATGACTACTGCGCGTTTTCCAAGAAAATCATCAGAACTTTTTTCCTCCCCGCCTCAACACACCGAGCAGCGCTCCCGGGCCCGAGTTCAGCCTGGGCGCTTATCGCCACCAGCTCCGGGGCCCCAGCCCGCCCGAGGGACGCCGTCCCGTTGCG